TATCTTAGGGTGGTTTTGATTTGCATTTCTCTGACTGCTAGAGATGGTGAGCATTTTTTCCATTGAGAATAATTTATCTACCATAAAATGCACATATCTTAATTTTACCTGTATTAGTTTTGACAAATGCATACTCCTGTGTAACCTATAAGCCCAGGAAGATGTAGGACTTTCTTCCTACTCAAGAAAATTCCCTCAAGCCCCTGTCCAGTCAGTCCTTCCTCCTTATTGCCCATAGGCAACCAGTGCTTTCATTTCTGTGATTGTATTTTAGGTTTTCCTGTTTTTGAACTTCATATGAGTGGAATCACATAATACATATGTTTTTTGTCCTTAATTTCTTCATTCAAGGTAATAGGTATTGGAGAAACTTTAGTTGTTATTTGTACCAGTAGCTAATTCCTTTTTATTGCTGAGTAGTATTCTGTTGTATGTGTAACATGTTTCTCCTTTGATGGATATTTATATCATTTCTAATTATAGAATATTATAAATAAATCTGCTATGTGGGCCTGGGCTGTGGCTCAGTGAGAGAGCACTTGCCTGGCATGTGTGAGGCCCTGGGTTCGATTCTCAGCACCACATATAAATAAATAAAGGCTGGGGCTGGGAATCTGGCCCAGCGGTAGAGCGCTTGCCTCTCTCATGTGAGACCCTGGGTTCGACCCTCAGCACCACATAAAAATAAATAAACAAAATAAAGATATTGTGTCCATGTATAACTAAAAAATATTTAAAAATAAATAAAATAAAGGTCATCAACAACTAAAAAATTTTTTAGAAATTAAAAAAATAATAAATAAATATGCTATGAATATTTGCATGCAAATCACTTACTACGAACTATTTTAATTGCTTTACCTGCTATATCTGATTTAACTCCACACTCGAAACTGAGGTCAGTATTATTTACTGGCCCCATTTTACAGTTGAGATTATTCCTATGGGAGTAGTTAATTTATACAGGTTGTTCTGCTATTCAATGGTAAAAAGTTAAACCCTTGGCAGTCACACTCACAAATCTTGCTATGTTAATAAACAGACTTTGTTGTGTGATATAAAAAATGTGGTCAATAGTTTTTTGGCATCAGAAGATATATTTATATCAGGTGAGTAATGAAGGCAAATATATTTTTGGTCTCTTCAGATTTCTTCAGAAGAATACGGAAAGGAAGTAGACATCTTTGCTTTGGGGCTAATTCTTGCTGAACTTCTTTACATATGTCCCACAGTTTCAGAATCAATCAAGGTAAATAATCTCAAAGAAAAAATTAAACAACACAAATGATTGGCTGTCATCTTTGCTGCACTGCTGCAAATAGGTATTGTCCTCATGCGAGGGTGGTCTCGAACGTATTAGTGTATGATTGTAAGTAAAATATGTATTTTCTCTTGCAAATTTTGACAACCATTTTTGTTATAGACCCAAACCTTTGACCTTTGGAAGGTGTTTACATCTCATGAGACTCGAACTGGAGCCAGTCAGCAAAATTTCATCAGTGCCTTCTTGAAGGCAGACACTGTGCTAAGTGTCATGAGGGTTATAAAAAGGAGCAAGCCTATTCTCTGGAAGTTAATTTCCTAAGAAGAAAGAGAATACAAGAGAACAATGTAGGTGTTTTAGGAGAAGTCTGTGGAAACAACTAGGAGGGAGATCTTTCTATCGGTAGCAGTTAAGATTTCATTGGAGGTATGTAAGCTGGACCCAGAAGGGTTGGTTGTTTCTAATAGTCTAAAATAGAAAGACAAGTGGTGACTAAATCAATGAAAGAATATGGACTTTCTTGTGTGGACAGCGGGGAATCACTGAAGTGAGCAGTAGACAACTGCATATCCTAGTCTCAAGCTCAGGAATGGGACTTGCCTTGCAGCCACAGCCTTCTCCTCTGTAAAAAGGGACATTGAAAGTACCTGTCACATAGAGTTCCAGCAAGGATGAAGGGAGGCGTGAATGTCATGCACCTAATGCTTCCAAACATAGAATGCTAAGGATGGTTACTAGATTGGGGTAGGGTATGGGGAAGAGAGTTCTATTTGCTTCCTGGCTAAAGAGACTTTTCCAAAGATCTGGAACTATCCTGGATTTAGGGTAATCTCAGCTTTTAGTGCATCCTGTTTATTTTTCCTCCCAAGAAAATGATTTCCTAATAAGTAAATATATATACATATACATGTATATATGTATTTATGTTTTACCACCAGATTTTTGAAGATCTAAGAAATGGCATCTTCCCTGATGTATTTGACATCAAAGAAGTAAGTGCTTGACACTAATCAGAATTCTATTTATTCCAATGTTTTTTTTTCCTTAGTATTAACTCTTACTATTATTACAGAAAAGTCTTCTACAGAAATTACTCTCAAAGGATCCTCGGAAACGACCTGACACRTCTGAAATACTGAAGACCTTGGCCAAGTGGAAGGATGTCTCAGAGAAAAAAAGAAACACMTATTAGGGCCCTCTAAAAAAATATCCAGCTTCTGGTGTGTGTTTCCTTTTAATTATCTAAAATCTACTAGGGGATATTGATGGATATTTACTGTTTATTTTAATTTTTCTTTCCTTAATTTTTTTTACTGCTTTTGAATACAGGTTTTCTTTTTCTTTTTTTGGTACTGGGAATTGAACCCAGGGGYACTTTAGCACTGAGCTACATCCCCAGCCCTTTTTTTTATTTTATTTTATTTCTCACTAACTTGCTGAGGGTCTCACAGAGTTGCTGAGGCTGGCCTCAAACTTGTGATCTTCTTGCCTTAGCCTCCAAARTTGCTGGGATTACTGGTGTGAGTCACCACACCCAGATTTTTCTTTAAAAAAAAAAAAACTTCAAAAACATTTTTACACTTGTTTTTTCCTATCTTATCTCTTTATTCTGTAARAGAAAATATTTTCTTTTTATACCAATTAGTGAATGGACCAATTAATATGATTATTAAAAGATGAATGTTTCTAGATGCTCCTTCCCTCAAAAAAAAAAAAGATCTTTCCTTGCCTTGAATAGCTTACAAGCCAGTTGAGGAAATATGGTATCTATAAAAAGTCAAATGATATACCATCACTTTGGAAATCAATTTGACATTATCTAATAAATTTGAAGCTATATTTACCTTCAAAGCAGTCAGCTCCATTCCTATATACATGCTTACAAGAATGTTTATAAAAACCYTGTTTATAAAGGAGTCAAAAGAACTGGAAACAACCATAATGCTCATCAAAAGAAGATTGAAGAAGACAATTATGTTTACAGTTGGGTGTGGTGGTGCACACTTGTAATCCCAGTGACTCAGGAGGCTGAGGCAGGAGGAGCAAAAGTACAAGGCCAACCTGGGCAACTTATTGAGGCCCTAAGCAACTTAGGGAGACCTGTCTTAGTGGTAGAGTGGCYCTGTGTTCAATCCCTAGTATTAAAAGAAAAAAACTATAAAAAAATTCACATATTGGAGTGCATTAAAAATGAATGCATTACAATGAAATGAATACCAATAAAATATATCTCCCAGGAATGTAAGGTTAGGAGAGCAAAATAGATTTCAGAAAATATACACAGCAAACTCCATTTACATACTATTATAAATCATGCAATACTAAATATTTTTTTTAGGATTCCCAAGAAATGTAATAAAACAAAGGGAAGGAAAGGAATGAGAAATATTAAATTCTGGATAGTGGTTATCTCAGAAGGGAGGGAGATAATGTGAGTGGAGAGGAGGACTTCAGAGAAATTATAATTCTTTCTCTGAAACTGACTGTTGAGTCCACTACACATTTTCTATTTATCTTAAGTATTTATTATGTCTGTTATAACAAATGCTTTGAAGAAAAGATAACTGTGCTAGCTGAACAGCAGTAGTTAAGAATAGAAGCGGGGAGCTTTCAACCAACCTCAGGGCTTAGAAGTAACATGCCAATGAGACCTCCAAGCATGTGAAGTATTTGAATGAGGAGAGGGCTCACCTGCACAGTCTGGGTTAGAGGCATGGCATGAGTTCTGGAAAAAGATGCATTTGAGGAACGTTGGGTGTGCTAGTTCACTGTCCTAATTTTRTAGAAAATGCTGGAAGATAATTTGAATTGCATCTTGGAAGACCTTGAGGGTTAATTGAATCTTCAGAGCAATCAAGTATCATTCTAAAGCTGTCTTGCAATTTTACAACTTTTAAAAGTAAATCAAGTAATCTCAGTGGCTTGGGAGGCTGAGGCTGGAGGATCAAGCTAGCCATAGCAATTTTATGAGGCCCTAAGCAACTTAGTGACACCTTGTTTCAAAATTTAAAAAAAAGTGTGTGTGTGTGTGGGGGGGGTGTTGATGATGTAGCTCAGTGATAAAGCACCCCTGGGCTCAATCCCCAGTACCAGGAAACAAACAAACAAACAACAACAACAACAACAACAACAACAACAAAAAACTAGCCAAATTTTGGCTAAGCAGAGTAAGAGAAAATACTTATATCAAGGTTTATACCTATTTTTAAAAGTATTCATAAAAAATGCTTAATATGTGTTCAACTCCCAGTGCAGTATTTGATGAAGGCAAAGTTCATCAATGGATGCTAAAACAATTGGGTGAAAAGATGTTGGGAAACAGAATATTCAAAAGGATTTAAGTGTTATCCCACAGATGATATATTACAAAGAGGAAAGTGGCCTTTTTCAATGGAGAGATCTGTGGTCACTACAATAACCAAGTCATTCAACCTAGTATCATACAAGGTGGAACAACCTAACATTATGCTCCTCCTGACATGATAGAAAAATTATACAATAGCATCTAGCTCTCTTGCCCAGAGGGTCTGACTAGAATTCAGTCATGAGGAAATTATTAAATCCTGAATGTAGTCAATGTAGTCATTCTACAAGATAATTGACTTAGTCTTCAAAAAGTCAAATGTCATGAAAAAAAAATGTAGGGGAACTATTCTAAATAGAGACAAGAGAGATCTAATGATCAAATGCAATGCTTGAATCTTTATTGTATTCTGTACATTAAAAAAAAAATCCCAGCAAACGGCCACAAAAGACATTTTGGGGACAAATTGAGAACTTTTGGAGTACAGACTGCATAGTAGGTAACAATGTAATTGTTAATTTTCTCAGGTATGACAATTGTTTTGTGGTCAAGGAGAAACTTTTATTCTTAGGTAATGTATGCAGGAATATTTAGGGGTAAAGGGTCATGATGTTTGCGACTTTCAACTGGTCAGCAAGAATTGATGCACTATATATGGAGAAGAAAAGAGATGAAGAGAGAGAATGAAATATGATAAAATGTTAACTGTCGGAAAATTGGTAAATAGATTGTACTACTATATCAACTTTTCTGTAGGTTTGAAAGATTTATGGGTAGATAGAATTTCTCTGTGTTTTTTTTTAAACTAGTAATATCTGGTTTCAATGAATGAGGATATACTTAAAAAGAAAAACTAAACAAGGTGGCCATGAGAATGTAGCCTTTTAACCTTACCTTAGTGCAATATTTCTACTCTTATGAAAAAATATAGCATCTCTTAGCAGCTATTTATTTGTGAATATATATCTTTTCAGCCTCAAAAAAAAATACTAGATAAAAAGTATCTTCTTAATCAGAGGAGAGAGGCAAGAGCCAGGGACCTTATTTGCAGATAGTTTTGAAAGAGCCATTTGATCTAGTTACTTAACTAGAAACAGGCCTTCTTGTTAATTTTTAATTGCTAAACATGCATATTATTTGTTAAATATGTGTGTTTATTTAACATAAACATATTGTAACATGCTTGCATGCTTACATTATTTATGTTAAATATGTTTAGCATATATAATATGCACACATATATTCATATTTATGGATATGTGTATACATGTATGTGTATGGCCAGCCACCTAATTTGTGGGACCAACTACAAAGTGTAAATATAGGGCCCTTGTTAAAAACATTAAAGGTGGACACTTCTGAGCATGGTCTTGTGCACTGATCACATGTCTGTGAAGCCAGCTCTGTGTGTACATATGTATGTGAGTATCTGAGAAGAAAATTTTAAAATTCATTTCACTTGTAAATATTTAAAAATGAACCTCTAATAAATAAGGTATTTTAGATTTTAGCAAAACCACTATATCATTGTCACTTAAAATTAATAAGATTTCTTTAATATCATACAATAATTAATCTGCATTCAGTTTTGCTATCTCAAAAATATATTTTTATTGCTTGTTTAAGTCTGGATCCAATAGTACATTTGGTTATAGGTCTCTTGTACTCTATAACATTGGCCTCTGTTTTCTTTCCTTTCACCATGTATTTGAAGAAGGACCTAGATCATTTGTCCTGTAAACATCCTACATTTAGGATTTGGCTTATGGTATCCCCATGATGTCTAGTTAGATCTAGAAGCTTGATTTGATTCGGGTTCACTTTTCTTCAAGAGTACTTCGTAGGAGATGCTGTATACTTATTTTTGCAATACTTCAAGAGGAACATGATGCCTGATTGTTCCATTTTCAGTGATTTTTAGATGGATCTGTAGGTTATAGTGGTGTAATCCACTTTAAGGCTTTCCATCATTCTTTTACCTTATGGTTTGAGAAGCCATTGATGATTGTTGCCTGGGTCCATTATTTCATTTTAGGGTTTGCCAAATATTGATTTTCTGATTCTACCAAACTTTTGCATTTATCATTTGTGATTTTTCTATAGATAACTTTCTCTAAAGCTGAATGGGAAAGAGGGATAAGTATTTATCAAGTTTATTTTTCAGTGTTACTGGGGCTCGGACCCGGGGCCTTGTACACATGAGGCAAGCAACTACATTAGATTGTACCATATGCTTATCCCTTTTTTAAAAAAATATTTTTTTTAGTTGTCAATGGACCTTTATTTTTTTTTTACATATATGTGATGCTGAGACTTGAACCCAGTACTCCACACACACTAGGCAAGCACTCTACTACTGAGTTACAACCCCAGCCCCCTGCTTCTCCCTTTTTATACTATATTAACAAGGTTTCCCTAAGTTGTCCAGTCTGGCCTATAATAGAGAACCCTCCTGCTTTAGTTTCCAGAGCAGCTGTGTAGCTATATTTTGACAGGCAGGTACTAACCAGCACGTGATAATGTTTATTGATTTTTTTTAGAATGAGTTAGTGCCTAGCAACCTCCAAAGGTGACAAATGAGTATTTTTTTTTAAACAGGGGTGTGGTCCAACCAGTACTTGGAAATAATGTGCTTAGAATGGGTTAGAGCAGGAAGAGACTCTATTTGAAAGGTTAGAAGGCTGAAGGACTAAGCTTGAACAACAGGAGACGTGAGGGTTATGGAAAAGGTCAAGGTCAAAGATTATTTCCAGGTTTGTTCAGGTGAGTGGCAGGATTTTGATGCCATTAAATAAAATATAATCCGATGAAACCCAAGAATCACATATGTTTGAGAGGTATTTTACTTGTCTCACCTTTACCTAATACACAGTTTTTAGTAATTTGGAATTTAAGCCAGTAGTGGGGCCACCATCCATCCATCGATATGGTGAGGTACATTTGGAAGGTAAAATGTTGAGTCCCATTTGGAGATCCAAGTTGGAGGCATTGCCAGAAGGGGAAGTTGCAGAGACTGCAAGAAGTGCAGGTAGGAAACATTTGTATTTAGATGTTTACTGGCTACATATAAATGCCTGTCCAGTTGTTACTGGCTACAGTTCAGTATCTGTGATTTTGACCTATCCTTATCCTAATCCTTCATTTCTCCAAAATGGTCATAGATGAAGGGATCAATTAATAAATGTATGGTGACATCACTACTGGCTTCAATTCTAACTTAAAAACTGTAAATAAGCAAAATTGTAAGGGAAATAAAGTGCTTCTCAGATATGTGTGATCTTTTGGGGACTAATTTGGTTAAGACCTATTTTAATTTCTGTGGTTGTAGTAACAGATTACTACAAATTTGGTGACTTTAAACAACACATATTTATTTTATTATAGTTCTGGAGGCCAGAAATCTAGAATGAGTTTCTTTTGGCTGAAGTTTTGGCAGGGCTCTGCTCCCTGGAGGCTCCCATTACACATCCCACATTCTGTTACCGGATTAAAGACCCAGATGCACATGTCTGTCCTCTCCTATCATTTCTACTGAAAATCCTGCAACTTTTTTTTTGTACTGTGGATTAAACACAGGGGTGCTTTACCACTGAACCACATCCCTAAACCTTTCTTATTTTTTTTTAAATTTTGAGACAGGTCTCACTATGTTGCTGAGGCTGGTCTTGGAACTTATGATCCTCCTGCCTCAGCCTCCTGAGTCACCAGGATTACAGGCATGTACCACCCTGCCCAGGTCCATGTAACTTTTTAAAATAATGGTTTTAAATAAATGTTGGTGAGGATGTGGGGGAAAAGGTGCACTCATATATTGCTGTTGGAACTGCAAATTGATGCAACCACTTTGGAAAGCAGTATGGAGATTCCTCAGAAAACTTGGAATGAAACCACCATTTGACCCAGCTACCCCACTCCTTGGTTCATACCCAAAGGTCTTAAAATCAGCATACTACAGTGACACAGCCAGATCAATGTATATAGCTGCTCAACTCACAATAGCCAAACTATGGAACCAATCTAGGTGCCCTTCAACAGATGAATGGATAAAGAAAATGTGGTATATATACACAATGGAATATTACTCAGCCTAAAGAAGAATGAAATGATGGCACTTGCTGGTAAATGGACAGAGCTGAAGAATATCATACTAAGTGAAATAAGCCAATCCCCCCAAACTAAAGACTGAATATTTTCTCTGATATGTGGATGCTAATTCACAATAAGTGTGGGGCTGGGGAAAAATAGAGGTACTTTGGATTAGGCAGAGGGGAGTGAAGGGAGGGGAGGGGGTATGGGGATAGGAAAGATAGTAGAATGAATTGGACATTAATATCCTACATCATGTACAACCAGAAGAATGTGAAGTTACAATCCATTTATGTATGATGTGTCAAAGTGCATTCTACTGTCATGTATAACTAATTAGAACAAATTAAAAAAATAAAATAATGATTTTATTGAGTTCACATTCAATATAATTTACTTACTTAAAATATACAATTTATTGGTGTTTAGTATACTCAAAAGAGTTGTGCAACCATCACTACATCCCATTTTTAAACATTTTTGTTACTCCCCCCTCAAAGAAATCCTATATCCAAGGACACTCACCATCTTCTCCCAATGTTAGTAGACCACTGATCTATTTTATCTCTATAAATTTGCTCAGTCTAGACATTTCATATAAAAATAATTATTTGACAGTGGCCTTCTTTAGTATTTTGCTTTTGAGTTTCATCCATGTTGTAGCATTGATGAGTGATTCATTCCTTTTTGTTGCCAAATACATAACATTTTATGTATCTCTTTATCAGTTAATGGACATTTGAGTTGTTCTCATTTTTTAAAAAGAATATATTTTTTCATTTGTAGATGGACACAATACCTTTATTTTATTTATTTACTTTTATGTGGTGCCAAGGATCAAACCCAGTGCCTCATACATGCAAATGCTCTACCACTGAGACACAAACTCAGACCCAAATTGTTCCCACTTTTTGGCTATTATGAATAATACTACCACAAACATATGAATGGAAGATTTATGTAGACATGTTTTATTTTTTGATGTATATCTAGGAATAGAATTCTGGGTTGTAATAGTAACTCCTGCCTCACAACTTTGCATATCAAAGTTATGCCCATCTTTCAGAACCAAACTGTGTTACTTCCCTGGTGTCCTACCATATCCCACTCACAGTCATCTTCCCCTAGCATTCCCTTTGTTTAGTACCTCATTGTTACCATTTGCTTCCAAAGTCAGTAATTCCTGCGTGTTTCCCTTGTTATACTGTAAATTTTTGGAAAGCCAAAGGCAGGTTCTCCCATTGTTGTATACTCTAAGGCAGCGGGTACTGTGCCTTGCAGAAAGCAGGAATTCTGTTAGTGATTGGTGTGGAATAAAAGAGTTTCATAAGCTTGATCCTACAAAATGTGCCTAATATTTAATAAGAATGTTCCCCATCAGATTCCAACACTTAAATGCTTGGTAAATAACACTTGAAGTAAACAGGTGTAAGGTAAATCAGTTTGATTATTTAAAGTATTTGTTTTGAATGTCAGAAGCTGCATATTTTGGATTTATAATTAAGGAAGACACTAAAAAACTCTAGAGAGGACTTTGAAAACAAACGCACAATACAAACAAAAGTAATGACTATATAAAAAATTTAATAGTGACAACATGTTAAAACTTATTTTGTTTTAAAGTTTCAAAATTTCATGTAAATGTTCTCAAGCAAATTAAATTGTTTTCAATGTTTCCTCAGTTTTCATTGTCTGGTTATGAGGTCACAAAAGGCCTATTTGCATAAATTTTTTTGTATGTGTGTGTGGTACCTGGGATTGAACCCAACGCCTCTAGCATGCTAGGTAAGTGCTCTACCATTGAGTCACACCTCAGATCTTTTTAAATTTTGAGACAGGGTCTTGCTAAGTTGCCCGATTCTCTTTCCTCAGCCTCATGAGTAGCTGGGCTTATAGATATGTGCCACCATGCCCATCTTAAAAGTATGTTTCACTCTTATTGAAGCCTCTATTTTTAACATTAGGTGCACAAAAATGGAGGCATACCTCCTGCTTAGTCAAGTTCTAGAAAGATGTACTCCTTTTTTTTAGCTATTAATACAATTTTATTGCTATTTAGACAAAGAGCAAATATTAAATAATAGTACCCAAATATATACTTAAATATTGGTGTTTCATATCTATACATTTATACAAATTATTACTTTTTTTGGTTGAAGAACTGAGACCGATAACTTAACCAAATTAGTGGTTCTCAAGCTATGCTGCATCTTGAGTCAAAGGTCATGTTGCCTAGACAGAGTGGCCAATTACATTAGAATCTTGGGGTGGGGAGGAGGGAGGCAAATTTATTTCTTGAAGTCCCCCATGTAAAATTTGAAAACAAATGAATTAGGTCATATAATGTCAGAGATTAATACATACTAGTTATACTGTTGATTATCTTGCCCTATGCAAGTGTAGGTTAGCTTTTGCTATTCTCTTGTGTATGCTGTTTTTAATAAAAGGAAGAAACTGATCTCTTGCTAAAGGTAACTGAAAAGTAAGCTGTAAAATCACATAGGTGTAATCATAATTATCAAAAAAATATACAGTGATGCTGGTACTCTTTATTTAAGCAACAGCACTAGTTATTATCCTTGGTTACTTATCAACTCATTCTTAGAACTTGGAAATAGACATCTAAGAGCTCCCCTTTCATAGTTGATTCAGAATTACTGGGGAGAACCTGAGCATATGGACTTTTAAAAATGTTTATGATTTTGATGTCTGACCCTCACTGGGACTCTTTAGACCTATGCTATACAGTATGTCCTTATATATATTAAATTTATAGGGAGGCAGATTCTAATATAGGAGAGAAAAATTAACATAAAAATAATTTATAGCCTATCTAGCAATGGAATGGTTTTTTAAAAAAATATTTATTTTTTAGCTTCAGGTGGACACAATATCTTTATTTTATTGTTATGTGGTGCTGAGGATCGAACCCAGTGCCTCACGCATGCCAGGCAAGCGAGCTACTACTTGAGCCATATTCCCAGCTCAGTGGAATGTTTTAAAGCAGTGAGTACTCTATAGCTGGTAGAATAAAGGTAGAGACTGGATTACCACTTGCTGGGAATGCTGACCAGGAGTTTCCAAATTCAGTGTAGGAGGAACACATGAAATTTAAGGTTCCTGCCAATTCTTAAAGTTTCTTTAGATAACACTTGTAACAGATCACTTGCATTGCATATCCCTTGCCATGAAAACTCACTTGAACCAGAAACAACAAAACTACTTTGTCTCCAAAATTATCAGAATTTAGTAGTGCTAATGGAGGATTGCCTGTGATGCCAGTCTTACCCTCTTCCTTTTCCTCCTGGTTTGGAGAAGAGAACTTCTTGTTCCTTGGGAGAGAGAAATAAGGAAACAAGGTCTCTGAACCTTCATTCATCCCTTCCCACAAGAGAAGTGTCTTATCTGACAGGTGATACTGGATAAAGAACTGAGCATGTTGGTCAGTTGGAACCAATTGGTCAAAGAACACAAAGTGGGCTCTGCCCCTACCAAGAAGAGGACTGCAGTTCTCTCTAATCAAGGAGTAAAATTAGGAGGCCTCATAGAGAAAAAGCCAACCTTGTTCTCTCTTTCAGTTTCATGGCTGATAAAGCTGACATTTTGGTCTCCCTCTGACTCCTGTATCTTACTTCTTAGTTTGTTCAAAAGTGAAGAGGGGAATAAGAAAATTACCTGTCAGTGTCCTTAAATGCCACAAGCATCACAATATAGCCATAAATTGTAATTGTCCATGTCTATGATATTTGTGTTCTGAGTAGTATTACATTATTTTTTTCAAGTCAGTGAACAATTATATTTTAAAGTACAAAGTATTTCTAAAGCACAAAAGAATAAAGCATTAAGTAAAGGCTCCTTTTCCTTAGTGGTATAAACAGTTTCCACTTTATTGGGAATAATCTTAGTCATGATCTGCAGAAGTTGGTCCCGGGCAATTTGAAGACAGGTCTTCTTTATCTGTAATTTATATGAGGGAATAATAAATTAATACAAATTTTATAGGACACTAGGAAATAATTTCAATATAGCAATGACTTTTGACTTTTGTTTGGTATTTACTCTGCTAAACAAATAAGGAAAAGTTAAAAACAACGATAACCCAGATCAACTTGGGCACATGGGGAAGCACTTGGCTTTAGGGACTGAACCAGTACTGGGCATGTTTATCCCCCCATAAAGAAAAAAACAAAAGGGGTAGATTTCAACAATCTGATTTTTATGGTTAGGAACAATATTCTGCCTAACAATATGTATTTGTTGAAAAATTTAATCTAAATATTTTTCAAATGTGTAGCTAAAGAATAAGTCTTTAAAAATTCATCATCCTTAAGTTATTCTAATTATTGAAACAAAACACTGAAAAATTCCCTCCTGTACATTCAGTTACTGAAAAGCTAAAATGAATTCTAATAAGGAATCAATTATTTGTATAGTCACTATTTCTTTAAAACACTGGCCTTATCTTTCTATTTGAATGGAATAAGAAATTTTCACTGTCTATGGGAAAGGTGACTTTTATTAAAATCAAAGAGCATTCATAGTCAATATTTTTAAGTATAAAGTATCTTTTTACCTTCATAGGCTGTTCCACACCAAATACAATACAAATGTTCTTCTCTTAAATAATTAGTCAATATTTGTAATTTTTCCAGTACCTAGATACAGACACAAGTACATTAGTAGTTCAAATTGAATAGAACCTGTTTTTCTAGGTCTTACATCATGCTCAATTTGCCCCAGGCTATAACATCCGCTATACTTTTCGACAGTTATTAGAGGTGCCACGGGCAGACTTAATATAATATATCCCAGAAGGGCTGGGGATGTGGCTCAAGCGGTAGCGCGCTCTCCTGGCATGCGTGCGGCCCAGGTTCGATCCTCAGCACCACATACCAATAAAGATGTTGTGTCCGCCGAGAACTAAAAAATAAATATTAAAAATTCTCTCTCTCTCTCACTCTCTCTTTAAAATATATATATATATATATATATATATATATATATATATATATATATCCCAGAATACCAGCCACCTGAGATTTTCCACAACTATGCCAGACACAATAGAGACCACTGATTAGCATTTAGAAAAGTTTTTGACTGACTCTATGATAGTTGGCATCCGTAAAGCCCCCTCCTAGTTTTAACGCATCTACCCTATCCCTGAGTAGATTGGTGAAGGTGGGACTGTCTGCTTTAGTAATCTTCCAGCAAAGTAGTCAGAGGCTTTTCTAGAGAATGTTCTCTACAAAATTCTTGGTTTTTTCCTCAGTACTAGGGATTGTTCCAGGGTGCTCTACCACTGAGCTACATCCCCAACCTTTTTTATTTTGAAACAGGACCTCAATAAGTCGCCCATGCTGGCCTTGAACTTGTGATCTTCCTGCCTCAGACTCCTAAGAAGGTGGGATTACAGATGAGTGCCACCATGCTGAGCTCTATGAAATTTTACATACAATTAACCAGTAATGTATATTCTCCTTTTTTGAATAATCTCTACTTCTTTTTGACTATATTCTGTATTGTTTTGTTTACTGGTGGGGGAAAGAGGGACACATTAAATCATTCCCACAACTTAATAGGAAACAAGTATAAAAGAATTTACATTTGTAGCAAATTCTTCATCCAAACTGAAGCTGAGGTGAGAGAGCAAATTGAAGCTAAATGGAAAATCCATATGAAATTTTGATGTGGGATTAATAAAACAATCCTGTAGAGCAATAGTTATCAAACAGGGATTATTTTTTCCCTCAGGGAATGGTTAGCAATGCTTGGAGATGCTTTTCATTGTCATAAGGGGATGTGAAATTGGTATGTAAAGGCCAGAGACCCCGCCAAACATCTTCCAGTGCACAGGACAGCTGCCTACAACAAAGAGTTACCCAGCCTGAAGTGTTAACAGTGCTAAGCCTGAGAAGCCCTGCTATCAAGTAAATGGCACCAAACATACAGTTAAATCATCACTCTCATATTCATCTTCATCTTGTTCTTTTTCTTCCTTTTCCTCTTCAGTCTCCTCTTCAGGCCTCAACCAGTACCATGCCTCTCTGGGAACCTGAATATTCTGAAAATGCAAAAATTATTCTCATGAAACACAGCTAAGCATAAGATTACCACAAATATGTTCAGGTCAATATGAATTTGATCTTTCAATAAATATTTACTAAGTGCTGTTTTAAGAGTATATTACTATAACATGAACTATGGGGATATGGTCTCAGAGTTGCTGCTGACAGTCTAGCAGGAAAGATAATCTACAGGTATAAAATAATACATATAAGATAGGAAATCTTAAGTGTCAGGAAATACATTAAAAAATAAAGTCCTATGGAAACAGCAAAGTAAGAACTGCTACCAGCAATCTAGTTAGATATTTTGGAAATTTTACCAATATTTTTGAGACTTTAAATGAAGTTTTATTTTGATGATATTTAGCTACTAAGATAAAAACAAAGAATTTTTTTAAAAAATCATTCAAATATGAAATATTCCAGCTTCATTTTACTACAGACATATAAGGTACTGAATATGAACTGAAAATAGACTATTTTGGTTAATCAAACATGGAGAAAAGAATTTCCAAACATTCTAGTTCTAAGTAATCAAAATTCAAATCAACAAAGAATGCATTGCTTTTGTATCCATTTTTAGATAATCAAAATAACTTGGGTTCCTGCAGTAAACAAGCCATTATTTTATCACAGATCAAGAATGCACAGTGCATGAAAGCTTTAATGGGCAAAAAACTAGATAAACCAGGCTTGGAGCTCTTTTTTCTTAAGTAAAAATGTGGCAAATCACATGGGGTGCCAAGACACTGTACAAAACTGAAAGCAAGTAACAGTTTACCTTCTGGGTATCCAATTGTTGACAGGCTCTCTGGCTTCTTCTCAGGTCTCCTTCTAGCTTCATTTCATCTTGCTTATTTTTAAGTCGCATTCTAATTGAAAGAAAAATTTATAAAGTAATGTCTGTGTTCTCTTTTATCATTTTATATTCCCAAGTTCCAGAAGACATACCAGGATAAAGAGGATTTGAAACCAAAACCTGCTCAAACATAAAGTTTTTAAAAAAATATATATACATTTTTAGTTGTTGATGGACCTTTATGTATTTATACACAGTGCTGAGAATCAAATCCAGGGCCTCACACGTGCTAGACAAGTGTTCTACTACTGAGCCACAATCCCAGCTCCCAAATGCAAAATTTTACCTAAATTGTTCTGCAGCTTTTTCTTCAGCTTGATTTTTCATGTGAATCTTTCTTCTATAACTTTCTAATTTTTCCTCTGCTTTCCGTTTTAATGATGCTTCATGACCAATGCCACTTTTCCCTGTACATACATAAAATTCTGATGAAGAACTTATTGATTCTTTACTTCGTAACATGACAATTTAAGATTTACGAATTAAATACAATTTTCATTTCAGTATAATCACCCCACCTCATTTCACTGGAATGACAGGAGAAAACACTGGGTTTATATGTTTTATCATCTTCTCAGAGTGTAATACCATATACATTTTTAAAAATTAGGGTAACAGTATAAACTGTCATACTTTCATGTAAATATGATAAATAAGATATATGCATATTTTTTTTCTTTTTGAGTTTGATCACAGTATTAGGCAAAACATTTTGTGGATATATCCATCTCAGAACACTTTTAAGACATTTCAATCAAAAAAAGTGTTGTTGTGTTTTAAGGGTTATGATTTCCCCCACATTTTTATGATTTAAATTTTATTTTTACTCACTAAAATTTACTTCTGTTTCACTAAGCCTTAATTTTACTTATTTTTTTTCTAGAAAAAAAAAAAAAACCTTCTAAAAGGTGTATAACTAACAAACATTTTTCTAAGGGTTTCCTGCAGTAAGAACTATAACTGTACCATCACAAGACAGTGTTAAGCAAATACCTGTGGTTGATCTATGCATAAGTTATTATTACTGGCAAATATGCTCAAAAATAATGACATACCTGTTTTGACATTGAGAGGAATTGGTTCAACAATACCATCTCCTAAAAAAAGAGAACAAAACACAAACTACTTTATTCCTTGGAAAGCTGGGAATGGAACCATCATTTGACCCAGCTATTCCCCATCTCGGACTATACCCGAAAGACCTAAAAACAGCATACTACAGGAACACAGCCACATCAATGTTTATAGCAGCACAATTCACAATAGCTAGAATGTGGAACCAACCTAGATGTCCTTCAATAAATGAATGGAATATTCATTTATTGAATGGAATATTACTCAGCACTAAAAAATAACAAGATCATGGCATTTGCAGGCAAATGGATGGCATTAGAGCAGATTATGCTAAGTGAAGTTAGCCAATCCCTAAAAAACAAATGCCAAATGTCTTCTCTGATATAAGAGGGGTGACTCAAAATGGGATAAGGAGGAAGAGCATGAGAAGAAGACTACCACTAAATAGGGAATAGAGTGGGAGGGAAAAAGAGGGAGAAGGGGAGTTGCACAGAAGATGGAAGGAGAACCTCATTGTTATACAGAATACATGTATGATGTTGTGAGGAGAAAAAGAAAAAAAAAAGTGTGTCACATTAGATTGGATAGAGAGAAAGGATGGGAGAGGAGCGGAGGAGAAGGGAGGATAGGAAGGGCAGCAGAATAGAATAGACAATATGATTGATGTATGTACATACCATGTATGTATTATATGTCAAAATACATTCTGCTGTCATGTATGACTAAAAAAATAAATAAATAAAAGAAAAAAACATAGAAAACCGCAAACTACTTTAGAAATTCTACCTCAAACTTCAAGCCAGTATAGTATACCACTTTACAATGTATCCACTCCATTTCAGTGATTTTCATCACTGAAATCTGAAATCAATACTCTCTATACAATCAATTACCTTCCTTGCCTTTGATTAATAAGGTTGACTCACAGTCTTCTCCCCACCTTTGCTGCTGAGGACTGAGCTCAGGGATGCTTTACCACTGAACTACACTCCCAACAGTTTTTAGTTTATAGTTTGAGACATGCTGTCACTAAGTTTTTGAGGGTATTGCTAAATTGCTAAGGCAGGCTTCAAACATGCAATCCTCCTGCCTCAGTCTCTCAAGTCACTGGGATTACAGGTGTGCACCACTGCAACCAGCAATTCATAGCCTCTTATGCCACTTTAAGAAACAATAATGCTGATATTATGGTTCAAAACCAGTGATGTCCTTAAGAGAAAGCAAAGCCTTGCAACTGCAAAGCAATTATAATAAAGTAGGAAAGAAAAGAAAAACAGCATAAGGAAGCTACTCTAAATATAAAGCCTCTGCATCTTAATAATCAGTTTCACTTCCTAAAAAGTGATAATAGAGCTTCTCCAACTGAATGGGCACTCAGCTGCCACAGGTAGAGACTTGCCATCCTCTCCCATTCTTTTCATAGTCCTTTGGCCACTGCACTTCTCAAACCATCATGGGTCACCCTTCTTTGCTGCCTCTGCTGTAAGCCACCTCCACTCCAGCTGTTAGTGCCTTCATGGTTGCTCTGCACTGATAAGCAGCTTGTGATGGCATGTGTATTACTGAAAACGGAAGATAAAAGTTCTTTATAGGGACTATTAGCACATAAGAGACTAAGAAGCTAAAGTTGTTTTAATTTTTTTTTTTGTAGATGGATAAAAATTAAAGTGTTATCTCTTTTCCTCATAAATACATCATAATTGGGTGGGTAGGAATACCTATTTCTGAATGTGACTTACCACTCCTTCCAAGAGCCTGACCACTTTTATATCCCATTTTTTGGAGCAAAGCAAACCCTTTGTTTTCAGAGCCTAGTGCATTCTTCAACCCAATGTCACGTCTTTCTTGTTCTTCTTCCTTTAAACTCTTCTGCCTATTTTTCAAATTAGCTTCTTGTTGCTTTTCTTCTTTTCGACGGGCTTCCCGGATTTGCCTCAGCATGGGCAATCCTGGTCTGACATCTTCTCTGAACAATAAAGGAAATGATTATTTTAGATGATGTTTTCTCATAACTTTGCCATTTACTCACCTGACACTAGTTAATATTTCAGTATGGCCTCTACGATCATCTTTGTTATCACTGGCAATTAGAACATAATCAGTGATGTCCAGCGATTTTAGTAGAAATGATGAAGGCTGGTTATATACGGTAACTAAAGAAAGTATGGAGTTTAAGAACTTATTAATAGTAAACATGACTTTTCCTAGGAGGTCAGCAATAATAAAGAACAAGGCCAAATAGAAGCTAGAAGAGACAATAAGATGCAATAAAGGAAAAGGAGTACATTTCCTTACAAGAGGGCAACCCAAGTATCCAGGGAAGAAATAAAATGGTTAGCATTAAAAGGGAGGAAGGGGATACTAATACCTTTGTGTGAGATGTTTCCATAAAGCAGTAAGAATAACTTTCCAACCGCACATTTAAAATCAGTGACACTGCTTCACAGTCTACACGTTTCATGGCATTTGGTGTGCACATTTACTTACTGGACATTAATGAAGGAATCAGACATATAGTCCTCTTCTTCTGTCATGTTCAACTTCATATGGTGATAGTATCTATAAATCAAACAAAGTAAATATATATATTACTTTATGGGAAAAAAAATATATATTTACCAAATGGGAATACACCTTTATGTATTCCCAGTGGTGAGCTTTCTCCAGAACTCTGCTACATATCCAATGCCTTTTGGACAGCCTTATTTGTGGCATTCTCTAACTCAATAGTCCAAACAACTCATCTTTCTCCTAAAACCTCACAACATGCCCTATGTTTCCACATTGTCACCCCTATCTTCCTCCATAATATTTCTCATAGACATTTTTTTTCTCTACAGTTGTGATCACATTAGTTCAAATTTTTCCTCACCTGAATGATTTTATAATAGCTTCCTAATTGGTTTTATTTCCTTTGGCCTCATCTACACAGTCTAAAGAATGTTTGTTTCTTTTTACTTTTTAAATACAAGCCAGGTCAGGTTACTTGTTTCAAATCCTTCAACAAACTTGACCATACAAGCAGTGGAAGACCAATCATATTAGCAAAGCATGGGGTCATTCTTATATACTGACTTATTACCCTCCTTAAAGATTTTTTATTCAAGCCACGTGGGCTTTTCACTGCATATAGGCACAGACATCCTTTCCACCTAGGTCAAGGCTATCCTCCTTCATAAAAACCTGTCTTGACCATTCCAGGCCACTCTCTATAAGCACTATTTTAGGGGAAGTTGCTCATCCAGATACATTAATACCTTGTTTATATGGAAATATTTTTGGGGAAGAGTTTCCAACCAAAGTAATTAACATCATGTAATTATTAGCCCTTAAAGTGCTTCTCAAACTTTGTGTGTATGTGTTTGTATGTGTGCATGAATTGCCCCCAGGATCTTCTTAAAATGCAGAATCTGATTTGGGGACTGGAACCTAAGGTTCCGCATATCTAATGGGTTCCCAAGCAATGTCAATGCTGCTCCTAGATACAAAAGTGTAGTCACTTGTTGCAGGGCACATATGCTTATTTTTTCCTATTATTCTTTTTGCTAATAACCCACTCTCTGCTGTCCAAGTGGTTCTAGAGGAAGGTGGCAATGTTAGCACCCTATATTCATTCCCTTGTGCACAAAGATGACCAATTATAGTACCCTGTGTCCCAGAAAGAGAGGAGGGATAACAACCAGGGAAAATAAGTATTTATTTCCTTGTATGATATGAATATATGCATTGTAGAGAATTAAGTTGTTTTCATTGGGCTTTCTGAATTGGGAGTATATGAAGCTAGACTGTGAATGGCCATCTTCTTGGCCACATAAAGAGGACCTGTCTGCAGAATGAAGCCAGATAGAGAAAATGGGCAAAGATAAGCCTAAAAGCAATAAGTCTCCAATTCTAGTTCCTAAGGTCCTCATTTTCTGATGCTATAACGTGGCATCCTTCCCAGCTACATGGACTAACAACTTTCTGTATTATTTAAGTTTGCCTGAGTTGGGATTATGTCAACTGCAACCAAGAGTCTGGGCAATTACACTGGATGAAAAAACTATCACTATCCTGGCTCTGAATACTTTTAACATTTATCTTTCCAACTAGGCTGGGAAATACAAGAAGTCCCTTATGTCCTCACTACCTACCACTGTGTCCTAAACATCATAAATTCTTAATAAATTTTTAGCTACAACAAGCACAAAAATGTCTTTAATATTTGTGATTTTCTAATAATAGAATACTTTTTTCCCAAGGTAAATACATCTTTTAAAAATGTTTTAATAAACATATTATAAATATAGAAAACTACATAAAACAAATGTATTATAAGGCAAACACTCTTATAACCATGTGGTATCTTCTAAGATGGTCCCTTATGATTCTTGCCTCTTGGGCTTTCAACATCTCCTCCCACAGTGGACGGGATTAACCTGGGTAACCAATAAGATTTTATGGAAATGATGGAGTGTGACTTTTTGGTCATAGTAGACACTACAACTTTTAGCTAGATGATTTATTTGAAGGAAGTTAGCTGTCACATAATGAGGACATTCAGGAAGCTCTATGGCGTAGTCCACCTGGGAGGAACCAAGTTTTCCTGTCAATAGCACAAACCTGTGAGCCACATTAGTGAGCTACTTTGGAAATGGATCCTTTGGTTCCAGTCAAGCCTTCAGATGACTCAGTTTGGGTTGGCACTTTGAGGACTGCTTCTTAAGAAAGTCCAAGCTAAGCTAAGCTGCCAACAAATTTCTAACCCACAGAAACAGATACAACAAATGACTACAGTTATTTTTAAGCTGTTGAATTTCAGGATCATTTGTTATACTGCAAAAGATAATACAAATCATCATCACATAAGGAAACAGAACTTTGTAAGTCAGCCACTTTGGAGCCCACTTTTTCCCTAACCAAAATGTACCCCTTGTTCAATGAGAGGAACAGTTACTATTGTACCTTGTATGGGAATCTTTATAGATTCATTTTCCACATGTAAATCATATAGTATTATATTTTTAAAACTTTAAGTTAAACATGTGTATGATTGTATATAGCATTTGTGGTAACTCATCCTCTGTCTCTAAGCCTCAGGTTCCTCATGTGTATTTTTACAAATAATTATCAGTATTTACCCAATAAAGTAGAAATAAAGTTCCCATTTTCTAGTTGGAGAAATTAAAGCTCAATATGGCTAAATGACTTATTTACAACCACAAAGAATTCAGGTCTCAGTGCTTTTGCTACTGAAGACTGGATTAGATGATGGTGGTGGAGGAGGAGGAGCTGGGGATTGAACCCATGCTAGGCAAGTGCTCTACCACTGAGCTACATCCCCTATCCAGAATCAGATTATTTTTAACAAACCCATTTGGTTATAAAGTGCAAGGCAGGGCTGAATAGAGGATGCGGATTCCTTAAAAGTCTCCTTTCTATCTGTACAATATACTTTAACATTACTCACTCCCATCAAACATAAGCATAAACTTCACAAGGCCATAATCCTGGCAGAGAAGACGGTGGCTTGGACCATCGCTTGGAGTGATAACAGTGGAAGGGGTCGAATTCTGGATATATTTGAATGTAGAGCGTACAGGATTTGTTGATGAATTGGAGGTGGTGTGGAAAGAACGATTTAAGATTTATGCCAGTTTTCGCCTGAATACCTGCAAGAATAGAGTTAACATTTTTTTGAGTGGGAAGGCTGTAAGCGCAGGTTTGTTTTTCGTTTAAAAAAAWTTTTTTTTTTCCAGACAGGGTGGATAGTTGACAGCAAGAGTGCTGTTGCATACAAACTGAGGATCCCACTATACAGCCAAGGGAGAGATGGTCTAAATAGGGATGTGTAGAAGGAGAACAAGAAACCCCTCGTTTCTACACACGCCCCTCAGGAATGCTTGGTCCCTTCTCTCCTGCCTTCCTCCCTGCCGAAGGTGCCACAGCCGCGACCACCTGCGGGTGGGAACTTGGCTCACTTTCAGATGGGTAGCCCTAGCTAGCGCGCATCGCCCTCTACCATCCCCTCAGACCTCCGCCGATCCTTACCAGGTACCTCTACTTTGCCCGGCCCCAGGGAGAGCCCGCGCTGCGCATGCGCCCACCAGCTAGCGCAGGACGTGCGGGACTCCGCCTCCACCTGTTTCCTAGGCGGACTGAATTGGAAACCCGCCGTAGGAGGGGCTAGGAGGAAGTGGCGAGTGCGCAGGAACAGTGTCTCGCGCACGCGCTCTCCCCTCGCTTCCTGCCGGCAAGAGAGCGGGAGGCGGGGCATCCGGGTCCCTTGGCGACTGCTTCAGCCCCGGGAGCTCAGCTGATCCGGCCTCTGCCAGACTTGGAGGTGAGGCCGTACCCCTCCCCGCCAAAGCATGCACGTTGACACGCACACACACTCCTTTGCCCCCAGACGTTTTCAGAGGAACGGAGAGGAAATTCCCGTTCGTAATGAACGTTTTCTCTTCTGGCCCGGGCTCTGTTCCGAGCCACCGCTTCGAGGGGTTGACAGCTCCAGGAACTTGACAGCTTGAGGAGGCCTGGCACGTCGTTTTGCATTTTCCCCAGGCCCGGCGCTGCGCTGCGCTCCTCCCAGCAGCCGGGTGAACCCAGACCCCAAGCGCACGAGGCCTCTGCCGGCTGCATTCACGGGCCGCCGGTGTTGTCACGGACGCTCGGGCCGCGGGGACCTACCTCCCCGCGCCCGCCCCACTCTCGTAGGAAGCTTGGGAAGCATGCTGTTTGGGGTCTTTTTGCTGGAACAGGTGCTGCGGGAAGGGGTGAAGGCGCTGTACAACGAACTGTGGACAGGAAAAAAGGCTTGGTAGAGTAGTAAGGCTGACCGCAGTGCTTGATACTGGTGATTTCGTTTTCTTATAGAATGGGCTAGTATCTGTGGGTTCTTCTGGAATAATGCCTTTTTTGCAATGATTAATTTTTCTTTCACCCCCCGCCCCCTTTTTCATTCTTCCTCACTAAGCACCATTTTTTAATTTTGTTCGTACCTTTGTCCTTTCAAAGTTGGTTCTCTGGTTGTGCTGTCAAAGAAGTTATGTTTTTCCCCAACAGAAATAAGAAATAAAGCCATACTTTTCCAGTGGTTGCATTCATTAAGCTTGATTTTTAACATTTAAAAAATCCTTACATGCATTTTTAATCTGTTAATTTAAGGTGTGAATTACAAACTTCAGTAATGGAATTAGCTCACAGTTTATTGCTAAACGAAGAAGCTTTGGCTCAAATCACTGAAGCAAAGAGACCAGTTTTTATCTTTGAATGGCTGCGATTTCTTGATAAAGTCTTGGTTGCTGCTAACAAGGTATGATATTGCTTTATTTCTAATTGGATTAACATGTAGGGGCTAATAAAGCAAATCATTTTGGAAAGGTTGTAGGTCACTTAGGGAACTCAAGAATGTAACACTAATGGGAATTTTTTGTCTGTCCTTTTTCTGTTTTGTGGCAAACTTCAGCTCATCGCTCACTTCATTTCTCTAGTCAGCTAAGTGTGATTGGAAAAAAACATAGCTATGTGATTAGTATCACTTTAAAGTCATCATCAGCAACTGCTAGTAAGTTTCAGCACTATTGGTAATCTCAGTATCTTTACTTTTCTCTCTAAGAAGTTAATAATAGGCTTTTATTTTTTCTGGTTTTCTCTTCCTACTACAGTCTCTTTGATTCAAGTTTATTGTTTGTATGTTTTATTTTCTTTGTTTAAAATTAGGTGCTTTTATCAGATGGTGATGACCTTCCATTGTCTGCTTAAATTTTAGAATGAGCTGTGAAAAGTCTTCTGGTAAGGGTGAATTTTGTTAACTGGATTTCTTAGGCTAGTCTGCTTCCTGTCCTTAGTATCTCAGGTTTCTCCAGGCTGGTCATTCCCCCAGAAGACTTACTCTAATGACTGGGAATTTATGGGTGGTTATCTAGGCTGTAGGAACTAGGGAAGAAGACTGAAGACTTCAGAATTTGGTATGTAAACTTTTACTTAATTTCTCTATTTTTGGTGCAGTTAACTCAGCCCTTAACTGTGCCTATCCTCCTCTACTCCAGAGATATAATACCTTACTCTTTCCAGAGAATAAGCCTCTGGTCTTTTTCTAGAATGGTAAAGAGAAATAAAATCTTATAGTTTCTTAAAAAAACTCAACCATTCCCTCCATTTCCAAATGCATCTTGACTACTGCTTCAGAAGCACCTAGGGCTTTGGGTGCTCTGTGTAGATTATGTAAATTTCTGTGTGTATAAACTGTAAATTTCTTCTCAACTTTCCCTATTGGAAAGACTTGGCTTCTAAATTTTGTGTTGATTCTTTTCCTGTTTTCTTTGCTCTTTTGGATTTGTGCAGCTTTTTTTTTTTTTTTTTTTTTGGTTGCCCATTAGTCTGAGTTTAATGGAGTTTCTAGAGAGGCAGTTAATATATGGATTTACTTGCAATCTTCAACTAGAAATTTCTGTTTTCTCTTAAACTTCACGCAACTAGATATTTGTTTTCTTCCCTCTCACAGCTATCATGGATCTCACATTGTCCAAAACAATGGTCTGTATTCTATTTTATTTGATCCATCTTCACCTTTTGATATAGGTGATACTCTACCCTGAAACACGTAAAACATTTTTTATTTTGTGGCCAAGTTGACATATTCAAGAGTATATAAAACATATCTAAATTACAAAATATAATAATAGGAATATCTGTGAACCTTCCACTCAAATTAAAAAATACTTTGTTTTACTTAGCATACTTTGTGTTCAGTTCTTCCTACTAGTGGCCTCCCAAAACACCATTTTCTTTTAGTTCCCTTATACTTCACAAGCTTCTAATTCTCTTTTGTTGGCTTTTTTTCAGTCCTTGGCATTCTTTTTTTCTCCTATGTTTACTTACTTTTTCCGTGATAGCATCTAATCTTAAAATTTATACTGCTGTCTCTATAAGGACTCCCACATATCCAACTGCCTAGTGTACTTCATTTGTGTTTAAAAAGCATCTCAAATTTAACATATCTGAGCCAGATTCTTTATTTACCTTCCCAAATGTGCCCTTTCCCCAGTGTTCTCCACATCAGGAAATGACCATTTTATTTTCTGCTTGCTTAGGCCAAATACTTCAGAGTTATTCTTTCTTTCTTTCTTTTCTCAAACTTCACATCATATTCAGCAGCAAATCTCATGGGTTTTATCCACAAATATACCCAGAATTCATTTATTTCTCATCATCTACCTCTTAAATTATCTCTTATCTGATTATTGCAGCAGCTTCTTAATTGCTTACCATACATATACTGTATTAGAGTATTCTCAGTTCACCAGTCACAGTGAGCCTGTGAAAACATTTAGATTATGACCCTCCTCTACTTACAACCCTCACTCAGAATAAGATACAACATTCTTACAGTGGTGAACGTTATACTACACAATACGATCCCTGCTGACTTCATTTCCTCCTACTTTTTCTAACTCCACTCCAGCTACACTGGCCTTCTTGCTGTCCTCAGGTATACTAAGCATGCTTCACCCTCAAAGCCTTTGCACTTTTGTTCCCTCTGCCTGCAGTGTTCTTCCCCAGAAACTGGCATAGCTCACTCCTTCAGGTTTCAGAGAGTTCTTTTCTAACTAATATATATATAAAACAGCACTTACACCATTCATTTGTTTACTCAATAAACTCTGTCCCTCCCCAGTAAAATGTGAACTTCACAAGGACAGGGACTTTGTATTGTCCACTGTTGCACCCCAGTGCCTAGGATAGTGCATGGCATGCAGTAAGTGCACAGTTGATTTTTTTAAATACTTGAATTGATTCTAAGTATTGATTACGAGTAGGTATGGGTTTTATGTTCTGTTGCCTAGGTGTCTTCAGAGTTTTTTTGGTTTCCTTTACTTAGCTATAACTATTTGGATTCTAAGACATCAATTGTCCATATATCCAGTATTTTGCATCCTTTGTTGGTTTATTTCTTAGTAAATTGGCCTGGAAACTTTTTGGATTAGGGCTGTTACTTTTATTGGAGGCTAACTTTTTGGCATTGAAGGGAAATGAAGGAGATTTAATATAAGAAAGAATGGATCATTTTTTACTAAACTTTTCCCTATCTTAAAAGTTTTCACTTATGATTTATGTTTAATACAGATTTTAGAGTGCCTTAAGTGTTAAGTATTTTGAATCTTAATTAAAAATAATGATCAGTATAAGAAAAAATGATAATGTTCTTTTGGATTTTTTTTAATAACAGACTGATGTAAAGGAAAAACAGAAAAAACTTGTTGAACAGTTAACTGGATTGATAAGTAGTTCACCTGGACCACCTACAAGGAAATTATTAGCTAAAAATCTTGCAGCCCTTTATAGCATTGGGGATACTTTTACAGTTTTTCAAACACTTGATAAATGTAATGACATTATCAGAAATAAAGATGACACTGCAGCCTACTTACCAACAAAATTGTAAGTACTAACTTGACAGGGACTCTTCAACTTTTGTGTCTTATTTCAATGTAACTTAGTAAGAGATGGTTCACCATAGAGACTCCCAGTGGGTGGACATGCTGCTGACAATGAAAGTGCTAAGTAGATCTGGGGAAGGAGCTCTCCTTCCACATATCCATCCATGGGAGGGAAAATGCCACCCAAGTAAGAGTAGTAACAGTGTGGGGAACAGCTTTGTCAAGGAAAGCTTCTCAAAGAACCATACTTGAGGAATGGGGTTAAGGTGGGAAGAGGAAAGGTGAATGTGATAGATCCAAGGTCAGCATGTTTTCTGGAAAAGGCCAGATAGTAATTATTTTCAGCATGTGCAGTATACATCTCTGTAACAACTCCTCCCTTCTGTCATAGTATGTACATGTATGAATATGACTATCTTTCCATAAAATATTATTTACAAAAACAGGTGGCAGTCTGGTTGGTGGCCAGATTTGGCTACTGGTTGTAGTTTACCAACACGTTTTGTAGGTAAAGGGAACTTCTAATTGGAAAAAAAGATGAGGAGGAAGGGGAAAATAATGAGTTCAGTTTGGGGCATGCCAGCTTTATAGCACAAGTGGTGATAACCAAGTAACAGTTTATAGTAAGCAGTTGAAATCCTGGTCTCATATCATAGATCTGAGTTGAGAATGTASTTTTGGTGAGCAGAGAATAGAGATTTGGGAGTAGGTTGAACACTTCAATATAGATAAAGCTACCTTTTGATAAGAGAAGATGGATATGGATACAACTCTAGAACACCAACATTCAAGGGTTTGGAGAACATGGAGAGATTATGGTGAACCTAGAAGCTGATTTTTAGATCTGTTTTCAACTGCATTGATACTAAGTTTTGAGTTGTTTGGAATGACACAGTTCTCAAAAGATTTTTATGGGAGATTAGAGAATTCTAGTGCTTTCTAATTTATTTTGAAGTTTAAAACTGTGTTAATAGTTTGATGATTTAATTCTCCACCTCTTAACGAATGCACACATAATTTTGTAGTTCTGGTTAAGTCAAATTATATAGTTAATCTAAACAATAACCAGTGAAAATATTCCCACAGGGCTGCAGTTGCTTGTGTTGGAGCATTTTATGAAAAAATGGGGAGAATGTTAGGTAGTGCATTTCCAGAAACAGTAAATAATCTTCTGAAATCTCTGAAAAGTGCAGAGGTAAGTTTCACCATGAAAGTTATTTGATATTTTGCTTGTGACAAGAGTTAGATGTCAGTTAATATGTTAGTTTTTTTTTTCTGTCTCTGTGGTACTCATATTGCTTAGCAAGAAAGTAATTTCAAATTATTACTTAGCCTTTTTTTTCAAATTTTTTTTTTAGTTATCAATGGACCTTTATTTTATTTATTTATTTATATGCAGTACTGAGAATTGAACCCTGTGCCTCACACATGTGAGGCAAGCGCTGTACACTCAGCCACAATCCCAGCCCTGTCCTTTCTTTTAATTTATGTTACCTTAAAGTTCAGAGGGAAGGAAAAAAATGCTCTCTTGTCAAATAATAGGTTTGCCTCCTATTTTTTTATTTAGCCCTATTTTTGAATTGGTATTTTATTTTTTGTGCCATACCTAATGTCTTAATTTTCTATGAGTGCCATAATAAAATACAATAGACTGCATGGCTTAAAATAACAGAAATTTCTTATCTCACAGTTCTGGAGTCTAGAAATCTGAAATCAAGTGTCAGCAGGGCCATGCTTCCTCTGAAGGCTCTAGGGAAGAATCTGTTCTTTCCTTTTTAGCTTCTCCTGGTAGCCAGAAATCCCTGGCCTTCCTTGAAATCCTTCCTTCCAGAAATCTCTGCCTCCTTTGTTGTATATAAATTCTTCTCTTTTTACAAGAGTACCTGTCTTTGAGCCAGTGTGACCTCATCTTTTTTTTAATTTCATCTACAAAGATCCAGTTTGCAAATAGTCCTATTTATCTGTAGCAGACTTGAACTTATTTTTGAAGGATGTACAGTTTAACCCATGACAGCTAATATCAAGTAAAAATATTTGTTTTGGTAGGTCAGTTTGATGTTACTTTCCTGAATTCCTTGTGAACTTCATGCTAACTAAAACTAGATTAAGTCCAAGACTCTCTCAGTTTAATTACTTTGTCCAGGAAATGAAAATCTTCTGGAATAATATCTCTTCTGGTAACTTTTTGTGTATTTATTAAACACTAATTGAGAACATATTTTTGTGAGGCTTTTGGCGTACAAAAATGAATAAGACATGGTCTGACCTGAAGAATATTATAGTCCAGTGGAAGAGATATGTGTATGAGCAGTATTGTGATATACCATGATTGGTACATAAGAATAAGCATTATGCGAGTATAGAAGGAGTTTAAGTTAGTGAAAAGAAGACGAGGGTTTGTCATAATTGTGACAGGTTTTTAAAAATGGATTGAATGTTTTCTTCTTCCTCTTTTGAATGGTTTATATTATTTCTTAACTATTTTTATTGAATGTTGTGTATTCTGAAGGCTTGGACCCTTGAGATACGGTATCTATCTTCATGTTCTTGTTTTATTGCACTTTAATATATCATGGAAAAATTGGAATATTTGCTTGTAACAGTTTTTTAGAAGACAATATTTAGTTGAAGTTAATAATAATTATCATTTCAGGTACTTTCTGGAATACTTAATTTTATTTTAATTTTCATTATTTAGTTTTACAATTTGGTGGTATGATCATTAGGCCCAGAGAACTGTTGTATCTTGGTGTGTTCTTATTTAAACATGGAATTAATTTTGTTCTATAGTTTTAAAGCTTTGCCTTATGTACACATATAGTCTCAAGGGAGAAGTGAAATCTTAATGAGTCTACAGAAAGTTCTGAATGGATTAGGAGGTGCAGCAGCTTCCTCTCATCGTGATATTTACAAGAATGCCAGATCCCTCTTAACAGACAGATCGATGGCTGTTAGATGTGCGGTGGCCAAGGTTTGTACTCAACCAATTTGAAATGCTTATCCTTATCTTGCTTATTTTTAAATAATTCATGATTTTTTAAAAAACATTAAATTATGATAGCGTGTTTTTGTTCTTTTGGATTAGTTTCATTTTCTAGATTACATATGAATGAAATCATGTGGTATGTGTACTTTTTTGTATGTAGATGTATTCTGGCTTCTTTTATACAGCATAATTATTTTTAGATTTAGCTATGTTGATGCATGTTATTAATAGTTCATACCTTTTTTGAGTAGTATTTTATTGTATGGATATACCACATTTATTTGTGGCTTCACCTGTTAAGAACCTTTGGGTAGCTTCCTGTGTACAAGTTTCACTTAGATATTACTATATCTTATAGTAGATTTAGTTTAACTTTTTAAGAAATTGCCCAATTATTTTACAAAGTACTTGTGCCATTTTACATTTCTACCATTTTGTACTCTATCTGAGTAAGAGAATTCTACATCCTTTTTCTCCTCATCATAATTTGTCATTTGGAGTCTTTAATTTTAGTCATACTAATAGATACGTATAGGTGGCTTTAATATGTATTTCTTTAGTGACTAATGATAAGCATGTTTTGGGGTGTTTGCCATGCATATCTTCTTTAAAGATTCAAATCTTTTGCCTATTGTTTTATTCAGTTTGTTTTTTTATTCCTGAGTTTTGAAAATGATTTATAGATTCTTTTTAAAAATTTTTTTGTAGTTGTAGATGGACAGAATGCCTTTATTTTATTTATTTATTTTTATATGTTGGTAAGGATTGAATCCAGCACCTCATATGTACTAGGCTAGCACTCTGCCACTGAGCTACAGCCCCAGCTCTGGAGATTCTTTATCTATTCCTTACCAGATATATGATTTGCAGATATTTTCTTCCAGTCAGTGGACTGTTTTCTCATTCTTATTTTATTATTATTATTATTTTTATACTAGGGATTGAACCCAGGGGCACTTTACTACTTAACTACATCCTTAGCCTTTTTTATTTCTAGACAAGGTCTTACTTAAATTGCCCAGGCTGGCCTTGAACTTGTGATCCTCTTGCCTCAGCCTCCCTAGTAGCTTGGATTATAAGTGTGTGCCACCATACTTGGCTTAAATAGTGCCTTTTTAAGAATAAAAATTTTGGAATTTTGTCAAAGTCCAATTTATAAATTTTTCTTATATGGATTGTGCTTTCTGTGTTGGTGTACTTGAGAAAAATTTTTCTAATCCAAGCTTTCTCCTATGTTTTTCTTCTAGAAGTTTGATAGTGTTACATTTAAATAAATGATCCATTTTGAGTTACCTTTTATATATGGTGCAAGGAATAAATCAAAGTTATTTTTTCCCCATGTAGATATTTACTTGTTACCACACCATATTGAAAAGCATATGTTTTCTTCACTAAATTACCTTTACATCTTTGTTGAAAATCAGTTGTCCATATGTGTATTGTTCTTTTTTGGGAATAGTTTTAATCTATTTGCCTATCTTCATGCCAACTGCAATTTTATAAATTACACTACCTTCATAATAAGTCTTAAAATCAGGTAGTGTTGACTCTCTGTTCTTTTTAAAAATTCTTTTGCCTATTTTAGGTGCTTTGCATTTTCATGTGAACTTTAGAATTAACTTATTAGTGTCTACAAAAATAGCATGATTACAGGCATTTKCCACTGTGCCCAGCTGTATATTAATTTTATACCTACTAACATTACTGAACAGACTTAATAGTTTGATCAGTTTTCTAAAGCCTGTTATGTAGACCATTATGTTTTTTATAAATACTGTTTTCTTTTTCAGTATATATGCTTTTATTTCTTTTTCTTGTCTTATTGCACCGACCAGATCCCTTGTTAAATGGAAAACATGAGAGCAAACATCCTTGTCTTATTCCAGATCTTAAGGGAAAAGCATTCAGTCCTTTACCATTAAATATGACATTAAATGTAGGTTTTTGTAGATGGCCCTTTATCAGTTTGAGGAAGTGATTTCTATTCCTAGCTTGCCAAAGTCTTAATTGGGAATGGATCAAATGCCTTTTTTTCTTATCCTATGATTTTTCTTTAATCAAATGCCTTTGTTTTAAATTCGTTTTCTTGTGTTGTTGCTCTTCTCTAGCTAAACTTTTACTTTAAGGTAATTATAGATTCATATGAAATTATAAGAAAAAATAGAGCTTTATAAACCTTTACCAGATTCCCAATGGTAATATCTTACAAAAATATAGTACTGTGTAACAAGTGGGATATTGACTTTGATATAATACACTGAAGATATCCCCAGTTTTTCTTGTATTCCCGCAAATGCTTTTTTAGCATCTATAGAGATGATCATATGATTTTTTTCTGTTTTAGTTTGCTAATATGGTGAGTTGTATTGATTGGTTTTAGAATTTTAGAATACCGATCTTGTGTTCTTAGGATAATTGTATTTGATCATGATGTATTATTCTTTTTGTATATTTTTGTCTTATAGTAGCAAACAGTTTAGCATTTTTGTTTCTTTGTGCATGAGTGCTATTGGTTTATAATTTTCTTCTTTGGTAGGATCTGTGTCATGTCATAGGATGAGGAAGAAAGTTCTCATTAATTTTCTGAAGAGTTTCTATAGAATTGGTATTATTTTTGCACTTAAACATTCAGTTGAATTCACCTCTGCAGTCATCTAGAGTTACAGTTTTCTTTGGGGGAAGATTTTGAACCATAATATCAGTTTTTAATGTAGACTTTGGGCTCTTCAGGTTATTTCTTTCTTTTGAGTGAGTTGTCTGTTTCATTTAAGTTGTCAAATTTGTTGGCATGAAGTTGTTTATATATATTCTCTTTGTCTTTTTCACATACGTTGAATCTTTGATAATGTGATTTATTTCTTTCCCGATTTTGGTAATTTATGTCTTTTTTTTCCCCCATCAGTCTGGCTAGAGAGTTGCCAAATTTATTATTATTCTCAAAGAAGCAGCTTTTGTCTCATTTCTATTATTTTTTTTTAGTTTTCTAGTTCATTGATTTTCTTTCTATATTATTTCTGTTTTCTGCTTACTTTGTGTTGAATTCACTCCTGTAAGAATAACTGTCTTTTACTGCCTGATGTACAGTGTACCAAAAACTGTTGTTTTGGGGCTGAGGTTGTGGCTCAGTGGTAGAGCACTTGCCTAGCACATGTGGAGCTCTGGATTCCATCATCAGCACCACATAAAAATAAATAAGTAAATAAAATAAAGTTATTGTGTACAACTAAAAAAATAAATATTTTTTAAAAATAAAATAAAGGTACCATGTCCAACGACAACTAAAACAAAATATTAAAAGAAAAAAACAAAAAAAAACCCTGTTCTTTCATATATTTTGTGTAGTTTTTTTTGTTTATTTCAATAGAAATATCTCTATCTGGTTCTTGTTACTCCATCTCTGGAACCAGTAGTTCTAGGATGTAATTTAATTTTTGTTTTTAATTCTAGTGTCTACTAGAACTACAGAATGAAGCTGTCTTTATGTGGACTGCTGAACTGGAAAATATAGCCACTCTCTGCTTTAAGGCTTTGGAAAACTCAAATTATGGGGTACGAGTGGCAGTGTCTAAACTCTTAGGAACTGTCATGGCTACAGCATTGATGCCAAAGCAGGCAACAGGTATTATTTGCTAATGTCTGATTTAGACCATAACAGATATTTATTTGTAGGTTTATGGAATGCTTCGTTCTAAATTGTTTAATATACATAAGGTGGTCACTTTAAAGAATTTAAGTTGTTGGATATCCTTCATAAAATGAAAAGAACCTAAAAGGCATTTTTCTTTATATAGTCAAGGCACTTTTTTTGTGATGATAATATACAAAAGTAAAACTAACAATTACGCTGGACATAAAAGCAAGTAAGATTTATTAAATGGTTTTGTGAAATGATTAAGTAATTGGATTCTGACGCTTTTTGTGATGATTTCTCACTTTCAATCTCTAATAGATCGTCCTTTGTACCTCAGAATTAATCCTTGGTTTTTCTTGACCATAATTGTAAGCAGCATCAGACATGTTTAATTTTGCAAGGGGCTTCTGCTTTGCCTCATGGTTCCATAGAGATGTCTCAGGGAGGGTTGTGAATAGACACTGAGTGTTCCTAAACTGTGCTCTTCTCCCATCTCTACCTTTTGGTAGAGTAGAAAGAGATAAGATGTTATCAGTTCGGGTCCTAGCCTTTATATTTAAGCTTTGACTTCTTTTATCTTTAATGATAACTATTTCATTTGATGATGATGATGGTATTACATTTTTAAGTGCTAACTTTGTGGTAGGCACTGAATTAAGCATATTGCAGATTGCTTTATTTAATCCTCACAGAAGCCCTAGGAATTAAAAGTACTGTTATTTTTAAAAAGTTCTGTTGTTTTATTGTAATTTTATAGATGAAGAAGTTGAGGCTTGGAGAGATTATATCACTTGTGTTCTAAAAAGTGTTGTATTGATAAGTGTCAGAACTGAAGTTCAAACTCAGGTAGTCAAATTCCAAATCCTACATACTTAACCATACACTTTATATCTCCTCTATGGAATTTTTGTGAGGATTATGTTTGTTACTTTTTAAATATGAAGCTGTGTACCAGAGATTGAAAGTAATTTGTATTACCAGTGGAATTTTAATCCTTTGGTGCTGTATTGGAAAGTCTCTTTGTGTCTACTCAGCTGGGAATAACAACAGTGATCAGTTAGCAGTATCTGCTGTGGACATACTTTGTCCTGGTTGTGTTACACATATTAAGTTTATCATCATCATTTGTCTCTTCTACATAGATTTATTGAATTGTTTTATATTCTGTTTAATATATTGTTTTATATGTTATATATAAAACATATATATTATATATTATATATTTTCTTAGCATTTTTTGCTTCAAGATTGAATTGAGGCTTATAAGTATATTATACATATTAAGATTATAAGAAAACTGAATGACCCTATTCCCCCATCATAGTAAAGTACTCTTAAAAATAATTACTTAGATTTTAAAGTTAGAATATTAGAAATATGATTTAACTAATAGCAAAAAAATCTGCTCCAGAAATACATTTGCATATGAATTTACTTTTCTTCCTAAAAGTAATGCGTCAAAATGTGAAACGAGCAACATTTGATGAAGTCTTAGAACTTATGGCCACTGGATTTCTCCGTGGAGGGTCAGGTTTCTTAAAGAGTGGTGGAGAAATGTTAAAAGTTGGAGGATCTGTTAATCGTGAAGTAAGAGTTGGAGTTACACAGGTTTGTAATATACATTTATAAAAGAATCAAATCACTTGTGAAATTTCTTGGAAGACTCTTGTTAAGTAAAGCATACACAGTGAGATTTTTATTATTGTCTGTTTTCTTTCAAAATGTTTTTTTCACAAGATTAATGAATTACATTCACATTCCAAATTACATGCTTATATGGAAATATAGATACTTAATGATGTGTAAATAAGTCTATGTCTACTGTGTTTATATGAATATCTAAAATTTCTTCCCAAATTTTACTTGGCTGTACATCAGATATAAAATAATTCAATTTTATTTGAAATCATATTTAGATATTCATAGCTTGAGGTAGCTACCATAGGTAGTTTGAGGCATTTTGATTTTAATGTTTTCTGGTGATGCTGTAGCTAAAAATATCGATTTATTCTTTGATTGGATTTACTGTCAATGATAAATTGCCAATGTAATTATAAAATCAAATTTGACTTGAAATTATAGTTTCAAATAATAGCACCAAAGAAGATGTTGTGGTTTATGATCTGACAATAATTAACACCAAATAGATTAAATGGTCTTCATGATCTTAGTCAAATCACAACTGTATCTTTTCCTGAAAAAAGTATAAAGGGTAAGTAAACTATTTTTATCTTACAGAAAAAGCAAGTGTACTGTAGCTATAAGTCAGTGCTTATCTAACACGTTAAAGTTTTCGTATTCCTAAACCCTGTTATCATCCTGATGCTGGGGTGATTTTAGCTTTCGTTTCTTTCCTCACCACTCTTTCTTTATGTTCTTCACTGTTATTTTAACTGTGTTAGTCAAAGGGATGAGTTGTTTTGTTTTATTTTGTTTTGCCCATAATTCCTATGCTAGAAATCCTAAAAAGATATGAAATTTAAATTTTCTGTATTTTAATTTCAAACATAATTTATTTTGAATGCTTCCCCGAGTTATTTCTGTAGTTGTCTTTATCTGTGATTTTTGTTCATTTATATACATTTATCTAACATCATATTTATGTGTTTATAGGCATATGTTGTTTTTGTAACTACTTTGGGTGGACAGTGGCTGGAGCGGAGCTTTGCTACATTCTTGTCCCATGTGCTTGATCTGGTTTCTCATCCTCGGGCAACACAAACACATGTGGAGGCTGTGTATTCAAGACGATGTGTTTCCTTTATCCTGAGAGCTACTGTGGGCAGCTTGCTAGGTGAAAAAGCCCAGATAGCAGCTGCCAAAGAGATCTGTCAAGCTATTGGAAAACAAATGAAAGCAGTAGGTAAGAATTGATATCATAATGTGTAGCGTTGATGCCCTTAGTCACTTACCTCTATTATTATTATTATTAATGAGTACTAATAGATCGATTAGTTTGTATCTAACTGAACTGTGTTTTCATAATTGTTTTTATTGAGTACTCTTATTTAATATTAAAACAACATGATTATAGTGAAGTGAAGATTGGGGTAGCATGTTTGTAATATTAGGTTTTCTGTTTTGTTTCTAGTACCTATATGAATTTTGTAACTTTCTTGGAATGCAGCAGCACGTTGGTTTTTGTTTTTAAGGAATAATCTATTGTTGTTATTCTGCTTAGAGCCTGTGGTTTTATGAATACATATTTTTGTTGTTGTTTTCTCCCTTAATAGGCTTCATGTAAAGGCTGAGCAACAACTATAGTTGGGTATTAGTTCCTTATAGGACATATTATAAAATCTCAATAATTCATAATTACAAGAAATACATTTCTTTCTCTTTTAAATATATTTTAATTGGAACTTAATAATGATACATATTTATGGGGTATAGTGTGACTTTTTTTTTGAGGTGCTAGCAATTGAAATGATGGCCTTACTCATGCTAAGCAAGTGCTCTACCTCAGAGTTATATTCCTAGCTCCTTTTTATTTTATTGTTAAAATTTTATTTATATAGTGTCTCACAAAGTTGACCAGACTATTTTCAAACTTGGAACCTTTTGCCTCAGCCTCTTAAGTAGCTGGGATTACAGGAGTGTGTCACCATTCCCAGCTTAGCATGGCATTTTAATACTGGCATAGAATGTATAGGGATCAGATCAGGGTAATTGACATATTCATCACCCCAAATGTCAATCATTTGTTTTGGAGACATTCACTTGAAGCATATAATTAATTATTGTCAATCATAGTTACACTATTGTGCTATAGGACATTAGAAGTTATTCTTTCTATCCTGTTGGATTCCTGTAAGGAGAAATTCTTTTTTTTTTTAAAGTACCCATTTTATAAATTTTTTCAGTTTAACAAATAATTATTGAATATCTAAGATTTGGAGAGCAGTAATTCAGAGTTTAATGAGTGAGATAAAATTCTGTCTTCATGGAGTTCATAATTCAGTTAGAAGACTAAAACAAGGCAACATATAAATACTCTAAGACAATCTAGTTTTATCACTGTTGGAAATAGATATTAATTTAAAAAATCAAATTAGATTTCCTAAAAAAGTTCTTTTGAGAGAGAGAGAGAGAGAGAGAGAGAGAGAGAGAGAGAGAATGAATTTTAATATTTATATTTTAGTTTTTGGCGGACACAACATCTTTGTTTGTATGTGGTGCTGAGGATCAAACCCGGGCCGCACGGATGCCAGGCAAGCGCGCTACCGCTTGAGCCACATCCCCAGCCCCTAAAAAAGTTCTTTAGAAGTAAAGATTTAATGAGAAGCTACAATCAGCAATTATTTATAGAGCATATATAAATGAAATATTTTATAAAATTAAATTTATAGGGGCTGGGGATGTGGCTCAAGTGGTAACGCTCTCGCCTGGCATGCGCAGGACACTGTGTTCAATCTTCAGCACCACATAAAAATAAAGATGCTATGTCCACCAAAAACTAAAAAATAAATATTAAAAAAATTCTCTCTCTCTTTAAAAAAAAAAAATTAAGGGCTGGGGCTGTGGCTCAGTGGTAGAGTGCTCACCTACCATGCACGAGGCACTGGGTTCAATCCTCAGCACCACATAAATGTAAGATATAGTGTCTGCCTAAAACTTAAGAATAAATATCTTTAAAAAAATTAAATTTATAAATACTGTACTTTTTTTCAATAATAACTTACTTAGAAAGCCATTTTTAAGAGTATAGGGATAACTGAAAATTATCCCTATACTCTTAATCTGCATTTGAATTACTGAAGTATTATTCTTTGGATATGCTTAAATAGTTATCTGCTCTATATTTAAAACTTGAAAAATATTATCCAGATTCATTGAAGAAATGCTTAAATGCCAGAAACACTGTGCCAGATGGTGTGGGTAAAATAGCAAACCAGATATTGACAGTGCCTGTCTTAAGGGAGCTTATAGTTTAGTAAGCAAAAGACAGAGTTCCTGCATTTTCAAGTTCAGAAATATCTAAGAAGAGTTGTTCAATTATAGTTTATCATTTATTAACCCATTCTATCATTCTGTATTGTATGTTTTCATTATCCACAATATATGTAAAAAATGAGAAAGTTTTGCTATCATTTAAAGGTTATTACTTGTGATGCTAGTTTAGCTATTTGACTTTAAAAAATCCTAAAAGCAGTATTAAGTACAATGATATACATCAGGATTTATGAGCCAGACTGTATGTATTCTCAAATAGTAGTTTCACAGAGGATTTTTTAGTTATCTCATGTTAAATATATTTCAGTTCTAGTGTACATTAAAAGGTTGAATTGAGGACAGCAAAGTAAGTAGGAATTTTTAGGAATGTTCCAGTAAGAATTTCTAAAGCCACTTTCCTTATAGATCACTTTCTGGTTGGTAATTTGACAGTGATACCTCCAATATATTGACGTGCTTGAAATAGCAATACTACTACTACCACTAGTACTAAAGTAATAATAATGGCTGCTAACATTTATTGAATGTGTATTGGGGAGCATTGTGTTAAATTCTTATATGCATTGACTTTTTAAGCATCAGAATACCCTTTGAGATAGGCATATAAACCCTATAAAAGATGAGGAATCTTATAAAAGTTGAGCATCTTTCCCAGTGTCACATAGCTAACATAACTGATGGAATTGGTACTTGAACCCAAATCTTCTTGCTCCCAAGTCTGCTTTTGAAAAACACTATGCATTGTTGCTGCTTACTAAAATTAAGTTGTATTCCTAGAAGTGGTTAAGTTTATATAGTTATATTTTAGTATTATCATATAAAATCATTAAACTGTATATTTTAAGTCATTTCAGTACTTCATTATACTTCTTTTCCACTAAGCAAAAATTGCATAGAGTTTGACACACAGGTATTAAGTGTTGTAACTAAAATATAGTGTGCAGACCAATAAAAATACATCAAAATTCAGTTCAACCACATTAAATACATGATTTTGTATTTTAGAAGCAGTAGTTAATGATACTAGTAGTGAAAACAAATCAGGCGCAGCAGACATTGCAGCAAGTCAGCACGTGATGGTCTGTGCCCTCCAGGAGCTTGGAAGCCTGGTACAGAGCCTGAATGCCACTGCCTCTCCTCTTATTCAGGAGGCATCAATAGGTATGACATTCTGTTAATTGCTGAAGTATTATTTTACCATCTTTTAAAGTTATCTGTATGATACTTAACTCTTGACTGGGTACTTATTATAATTAGCAGTTTAGGTGATGGGGTTTAATTTAAATTAATCTTTACTGTCATAGGGAACATGGAATTAAATGGTGAAATAAAGTTGGGAGACAAATCAAAAACAGTCACAGTAATTGTTTCTAATAATTGACTAAAATTTGTTGAAGATTTTCCTTTTAATCAACTTTTATATTTTATTGGATGTAATTCTATTATGTTCTTTGGAGAATACATTTGTTTAAAGCACACTACTGTCATGAGTACTGTAAATGCTTTTTGGCATAGTTGTGAGACTAGTGTACTAAATCATGGTGATTATTTTATGTTGCAGTAATTCACTTGCAGGTCAGCATGGGAAAACAAAGAAAAAGAAGAAGCAGAGCAAGCAAAGCAGCAGCAGAAAAAAAGTCCTTTATTGTGTACAAGCAATCTTTTTATAGTATTGTGAACAAAAAGGGCAGCCTTCCAATATCAATAAATCAGGTCTTTCAGCTAATTAAACATAGCATACAGAAGTTTTACTTTCTAATCAGAAGTGACCC